GTAAACGTTGATCGTCCGTCCGTACTACTTGACCGCTCCAGCGCAGTTGTATCTGCCTGAGCATGGTCTGGATGCTAAGAACTCCTACTCTCTCCAGGACTTCCGTGTCCAGGATCCTCTCCTGCCACTTCACGTTCAGTATGCGGCGGAGGCAACCGAGCTGAAAGTGGTTCAGCTTCCGCGCTTGGTCCAGGTCTCCGCTCCGTACAAGTGTTGACAGCACGACAGCCTTGTTCATCTTCAACTTCGTTGGGATTTAGAAACCATGGCGATTCCATACGGAGGCTTGGAGCCGGCCGAAAGTTTGGCTGGCTTTGGAGATTCTGCGGGCAACCTGGTTATCATTTCGAGTGTTGCGTGAGAGCGTGCTGCCGAAATAGGTAAAGTTGTCCACGTTATGGATCTCAGTGCCGTTAACGTTGATGTGTGCAGAGTTGAAGTCAATACCTGGCAGCGGTTGGTGTATAACCATCGTTTTGTTCGTGTTGATGGTGAGCCTAAAGTTGGCGCAGCGAAGTCGTCCATGCTTCTTTGCATGTCCGCTTCTGTTGTGGTGTTAGGAGCGCAGTCGTCAGCAAACAGCAAGTCATGGACTGTGGTTGTGGAGGTGCGCGTGGAGGCCTGCATTCGACGGATGTTAAGAAGGTTTCCGTCCATTTTGTATTTGATGTGTATTCCGGGACGCTCGTCACAGTAAGCGTCCATCAGCATGGCAGAGAACATGAGACTAAAGAAGGTGGGCAGAGGACACAGCCCTGCTTCACTTCATTGGTCACTGCGATGGCTTCAGACACCGTGCCATAGTCCGTGACGTGCGCCATCATCCCGTCATGGAGTTGACGTAACATGTGGGTGAATTGCTCCGGACAGCCAACTTCATACATAACTTCCCAAAGTCCGTGCCGGTTCACTGTGTGGAAGGCTTTTCTCGGGTCGAAGAACGTAGTGTAGAGGTGAGTCCGCATCTCCTGACACTTCTCTTGCAGCTGTCGTGCGGCGAATATCATGTAAGTGGTGCCACGGTGACGCTGAAAACCACATGGGCTTTCAGGCAGGAGCCCTTATTCCAGGTGGCTATTGAGACGATTGAGGAGAGCGCGGGTGAACACTTTGCTGGCAATATTAAGCAGCGAGATTCCGCGATGGTTGTCACAGACATGTCGGTTCTCCTTTCGCTTGTAGAGGTCGACAATTGTGGTGCCCTTGAAATCTTGTGGAACTTGTGCTTGTCGCCACATCTCCTGGAACAGGGTGTTCAGGTGAGATATGAGTTAGTGGCCACCATATTTGTAGATCTCTGCCGGGATCCCGTCAGGCCCGGGTGCCTTCCCGCTGGATAGTTGCTGCACAGCCCTTATGATTTCCTCAGGGGTAGGTGGGAGGTCG